TCTCCACAGGAGGACAGGGCAATGCACCAGCTTCATCTGTGCTTCTATTTCTTTTTTTCCTTTTTGGGTCACACCCAACGATGCTCAGGGGTTATTCCTGGCTCTGTACTCAGGAATTAGTCCTGGGAGGTGCTTGGAGGACCACGTGGGATGCCAGGGATCGAACCCAGGTCGGCTGCGTGCAAGGCAAATGCCCTACCCACTATATTATCGCTTCGACCCCATATCTGTGCTTCTAGAACATCACTCTCTCTGTCTTTCCCCTCCTGTTAACCCAGGTGGCCTGTGGCTCCCTCAGCAGCAATGGGGGTAAGTGGCTGGTTTCTCTTCAGGTGCTCTTGGAGCTCAGACACCAGGCTTTAAGAGTGCCCAGGTCACATCAGGAGGCCCATGCAGAGGTTCCAGTGATGGGCCTAGCACAGCCTGTGAGGTGGGGAGGGACAGAAGGGGCCCTGTGCCCTGAAGGTTTTGCGGAGAGACCCTGAGTTGCAAGATGCAGATGCAATAAGACATGGAATCAGGGGAGCCAGGTCATTGGCCAAGCTAGCGTGAGGACAAGGCCGGGGCTGTAGTGGTGGTGGTGGGTAGGGGACGAGAGTCTCTCCCAGCTCCTGACACCCTGCCCAGGTGAGCCTGAGGAAAAGGATCCTGGAAGGAAGGGGTGTCAGTGGGAGGCTGAGCTGGTGTGGACAGAGGAGGCACCACCGCCCCTCAGAGGGTCCTGGCAGGGAGACCATGCAGTCACTCTGCCTGCAGGGGGCGCTGCTGCCAGGAGCAGTTTCCTCCCTGTCCTGGGTGGGGACTCAGGTAACAGCAGCAGGGAGGGTGGGGGGCTTCCAGAGGAAGGGAGAAGGACTCGTCTGCCTTCAGGGACGGGGGTGGGGGTGGGGGGGGAGTGGCCTTTATGGGCCTGACACACTGTCCCTGCATGCCAGGCCCTGTGCCACGCCCCATGGGAGGAGGGAAGGCTCCCTGTGGGTTAGTCTGGGGATGGGCAGAGGAGAGGTTGGCCCAAGGTTGCCCCCCTGGCTGCCCCGTGTTCCCTACAAGCCCAGGACACCCCCTTCCCTTCCTAGGCTGAGGCCCATTCCCCAACCCCCAGGTGGTGGGAGGCTGCCAGGGGCAAACCCGAGGAACAGGGGGACCATGTTGTTGGGGCCGCCCCCATGTGACCTTTGGGGCCTGCAGGCCAAGCTGGGCTCTACAGGGTGGGCCCTGTGGTCAGCGGAGCTGAGGCCTCGCAGAAGTCAGCATCCTCTCTGAAGCTGCCCTGCAAACTGCTGCCCCCGGCCCCAAATCTGCTCCAAGTATGGTCATGCACAACCTCACCTTTTCCTGGGCAGGGGCTGATGGCCACCCACAGCTTCAGGGCAGAAGCGGAAGCCCAGGCCACTGGCTCCGGCTGGAGAGGAAGGGGACGGGGGACCGAGGGGTGAGCGTAGCCAGAGGCAGCTGGGCCGGATGGCTGATGGGCTCTGCTCCCCTTGGCTGCGAGCGCTCAAGCCCCCCTCGGGAACTGGCCAGAACAAGCACCTTTGCACACCCCCCCGCCGCCACCCGCCTGCCTGGAACAAGTCAAGCTACTTTCTCAGTTCCACGTTAGTCTTTTATTATAACCATACTGAATAGGAGCACTTTGCCAAAAGAATGTAACTTCTTAAATCAATATGAATTACAGTATAGAGATGAATGGGAGGGGGGAGGGGAGGAGAGGGGAAAAAAACCCCAACAGGATATAAATGGCACAACTGAGTATTCCATGAATCAAATTAATTGTACCGAGGTGAGAAAATTATGATGGCTTTTGACATCAGAGTGGCATCGGGCCTGTGGACAGACACATCCTAGTTCCTTTTTTTTAACACTATCATAAAAGAGGGCTTTGGAAAGTAACACTGAGGAAGCAAGGGCGGCTTCTCCCTGGTGCCCTGTCCCCAGTGCCCTGGCCACATGGGGTCAGCTGTGCATTGGGGGAGGAGGGGTGGAAGGCCGTGGGCTGCACAGGGCAAACCCCCAGGCCCCAGGGGGGAAATAAGTCTCCCTGCCCCAGGCTCGGGCTGGAACCATCCCCGGACAGTTGCTTAACTAGAAAACAAAAATCCAAATGAATCTGGGTCAACTCCGACAACCTGACGCAGAGGCTTGTACTTGTTCGTCACCTCCGACAGCACAGAGGGGCCATTCTTGTTCCTGGCAGGAATCCACACGCCAAGACTTGAAGGGCACGACTCCACTGGGTCACATCACAGAAGCAGACCCCGGGTCGGCCTGTGCTATCCGCTCACATTCCTTCCACAGCTTGGCCGGTCTCAGCAGATCCGGGCTAGCCGGGAGGTCTAACCAGATCACTGTGACCGTGGAAGGTCATCTTTGGACGCATAGGCTGGTATGAAATGTTGATAGTGTCATATGCCCCCCTGGCATCCACAGAAGGTAAGGCAAAGTCCTAACAACCGTCTTTCTCTCATCTCGAAACTCTCTCACCTGAGGGACAGAGAGTCTGTAATTCAGATTTTCAAGCTTATCAGAGAGGAATACATGAAACAGGGAGATGTATAAAAAAAAAAAGAAAAGGAGGGGGAGTTGATGACAATGGGAATTAATCTAAGCTTTCTGATATATAAAATATATTTAACTAGCAATAATCCAAACATGAAAGGTTCCACTGATTACACGTGTGAAGGAAAATGAAAAAAAGGTTTCATATATTCAGGATTCTTAAAAAGTGCAATTAAACATAAGTACCTGATAACATAATTAAAAAAATGGGGCGGGGGGAAGAAAACATTCTCTTTAATGGCACTGGAGCTAAGGAAAAGCAAAGAATGCTGCACTATGAGGAATAAACTCATGCCTTTGACAAGAGCTAAAACAGTCTGCAATCCCCTACCCTCTGGACCGAAGGGAATTTGAGGGGGGCCTTCTCTAGGACCCCTGCCCTGTCTCCCCTTCTTTGTTCCTCTGAGGAGGGGACAACTTGTGGGAAGCCTCAGAAATGCCCCCAATCGTTCTCAGGTTGCCCCAATATGGAACCACAGGAGGGGCCTGCCCTGAGCATGTGGGCAGGGTGGTTTTTTTTTTTTTTTTCAGGAACCAGCAAATGTCAACCCAAGAGAAGCCCTACAGCATCACCCTGCTGGGGGGTGTCGCGCGTTTGGCCGGTGGGACTCAGCTTGACTCCAGCAAGCACTTGGTGCAGAGGGGATGCTTGGGGGGGGAGCAGAAGACTCGAGGCCGGCTCCTGGGAACACCGGGGCACTGGAGTCTCTGACCCAGCAGGCCCACCTGGGACAGATGCCACACTGCTATCCCCAGAACGGGGCATACTGTCACCTCCCAAGGCCAGGTCCTCCGGGACGAAGTAACAGCCGCCAGAGTAGGGCAGCAGCAGAGTCCCTGACATGGTGGGGATGTTCCCTGGTGTCATCAGAGCATCAAGTCAGCCCCTAGATGAGCTGAGCAGAACAGCTGGGAGCCAGGTGAGGCCCAGTGGAAGGCCAGGCAGCCCCCGTAAGTGATCTCTGCTAACCCCCTCCTGAGTGAGTGGGAAATCGTGTCCTTATCACCTTTGGTGACAGAGAAACACCCAGTTAGCAGAGGGAGGGATGTAAACAGTGGCGACTCCTTCCCCCCACGCGGCTGTTCCCTGGTTGCAGGGCAACTTTCAGAGCTGGGAAGGCCTTGCCTCCCTCAGAGGAGAAGCCCAGGGCCAGTCACCCCGAGGGGGGGGAGCGGGGAGGGGGGAGGAGAAAGGGACAGCAAGTCTGTCCCCTCAAAAACCCAGAGGGAAGAACATGGCCCTCAGAGAGCCCTCCTGCTGAAAGGGAGGGGACAGTTGGGGGCTTTGTACCTGTGTGCTTGCGCTGCCGCCCACAGGCGAGGGGAGACCTCGGTTCTCTGCCGCATCCATCAAGGCACCGATTCAGAACCCTGGCCCGGCCCTGGTGCTCGCAATGCATCGCCCAGCTGGGCCAGACCCTGCGTCTCCTTCATGTGGTTGCCCACAGAAAAAGGCATGTGAAATCCTGCATCCTCCTGGCATCTGCAATGTTCCCTGGCACGCCCTGCTCCTGCCACGGGGACCCCAGGAAGGCCCCAGGGTGACTGGGGCTGGGTGGGATAGAGCTGGCCTTTCCCCGCTTCACTCCTCAGTTGAAGGGTGGAAGGTGGCCCCAGAGCAACAGAAATGCAACCAGACAATCGGACCGGGTGATGGAATGCACGGTGTTCGTGCCAGGGAGTCGGGGCTCACGGCTTCCGATTTGAGAAAGGAATATTCTTCTTATATTGGAAATTAGGGCAGCCAAGACTGACCTTGCTTTCTGGCTGTAAAAGATGCTAATAGGGAGACCCCAGGATTGAGGGAGGGGGTCTGAGGACCGGAAATGTATTCTCTCACAGAAGGGCAACTCTACGCCTCCTGCCATCCAGATACAATGCCTGAGCCCAGAGCCTGTTTCTAAAGACTTTCTGAGAAGCAACTTTCTGAGAGGCCAGAAAGGGGTGGGAGGGTTTTGTTTTGTTTCTTCTCCAGTTCTGGAATCCACAAGTTCTAGTTGATTCTATCGCATTGGACTGTATGGCTTCGCAAAGGGAGGCAGGAAATGGGTCCAAGAGACAGACATTTGCAAAGAGGAAGTTCCCTTTGGGGGTCCATCAAGATTCCTAGGCCTGGGGACTGGAGGGGGGAGGGGTAAGAAGAGCAGGAAGAAACCATGGTGACTCCCCTGGAACTCTCAGTTGGGGGGGGCGGCCATGCCTTCTGCGCTGGGGCAGGGAGCACAGAGGAAAAGTGAGTTTTCTGGTGGTCTGGTCTTTTCCTGACAGCCAAGTGTGACCCTGGGTCCGAGCTGGGGCTCGACGGGGAGGGTCGGGCCCAGATGCCTTTCGGCCTCCTGCCTGAGGTTGGCGCTTTGGCGCTCACGGATACCAACGGGCTGCCCCACGGCCACAGGCACGCAGGGAAAGAGTTGTTGGCCTTGGAGGGGGCCCCGTGGGGTGGAGTGGGGTGGGGGTGGGGGGAGTCTCAGGGGGGCCGCGGGGCAGCTCCCCTCCAGGCAGGCCGTGAAGCCGAGCTCAGATGTCCAGGGGGCTGACGATGGTGAAGCCCGAGTCTTTGCTGTGACTGCTGCTGTCGTCGTCCGGGCTGGAGCTGGGGTTGCTGGAGGAGGCGGAGGCCGAGCCCATGAGCGGGTCGGAGAAGAGCAGGGGCGTGCGGGCCAGGGCCTCGCTTCGGCCCGACGACGTGCTCCTGAGGGCACGGAGAGGCTGGGCCTGGCCGGGGAGGGGCCCCCTGGCACTGCCCACCGCTTCGTCTTCCTTGGAAACCAGGATGAAGCCATCGGCGCTTCCTCGGTCGCTGAGCCCGGGTGCTTCCGAAGGGGCCTGGGAGGAAGGGGAGGGAGGAGAGGTGAGCGGAGGGGACATATGGCCCCCTCGTCCTGTTAGGAGGAGGGCCATGTCTGGGCTGCTCCTCCTCCGAAGCCAGGCGCCTCCAGGCTTGGAGAGCGGAAGCTGCTTTTGCAGCTCGGGAGCCTCTCAGGCTTGCTCTGGGGGGGGGGGGGGGGGGGTGCAGGGTGACGGGTTCCCTGGGACAAAGGCGTTACCTGGTACGTCCTACAGACTCAGAAACTAGGACTGGCCCCTGAAAAGGATTACGGCAAAAGGAGCTGGAGCGATCGCACAGCGGGCAGGGCATTTACATTATATGCGGCCGACCCAGGTTCGATTCCCAGCATCCTATATGGTCCACGGAGCACCGCCAGGAGTAATTCCTGAGTACAGAGCCAGGAGTAACCCCTGTGCATCACCAGGTGTGACCCGAAAAGAAAAAAAAAAGAAAAAAAAACGGATTACAGCAAAAAAGGGACAGAATGCTTTAGTCTAGCATTGTTTTCCAAGCTTTCTGAACAGTCACAAAATGAAAGACATAAAATCAAAGAACCGTTAAAAGTGGTCTTTCTCTGGAGGGGCAGGGGTTGCATGGGACGGAAGTGGGCATCAGGCGTGTGCTGCTGGCATGGGGCTGCATCCCTGGACTCTGCAAGCTGAAGGCCCTGAGGGTCTGGCCAGGGTATGGGTCAGGAGCCGAGATGCCCTGCTGGATCTGGGCTGGGCGTCAAGCCACCGTCTGACCAAGGGTTGTTGCCATCAGTAGCCTGGCAGGGGTGCCAGCCCCCAGCCTCTCCCCGAAGCATCAGTGGGGGTGAGGGGTGAAGGGTCCTAAATCCGACTGGATGTGTAGAGCCTCGTGGCAGGAGCAGCAGCTGGGTCCGTGGTAGAGGTCGCCTGTGGACTGTGGGCAGAGCTGGCCAATTGGGAAGAGAAATCAGGCCCTCTCTGAACTATACCCTGTCCTTGGGAACACGGGGCTACAGGGAGCCAGGGTCCGAACGGGGGCTCAGCTGCCTCTCAGCTCTCACAGTCCAGCAGCCCTGAAGATCTGAATGTGCCCTTAAGATGCGCATGGAGCCTTCTGGCATGCCTTCTGGCATGCCTGGGGGGACTGGAGAGAGATGCGCTCGGAGCCCTGGTGGAAGGGAGGAGCCACAGAGTCACAGGGACATGTGGGAGGGAACAGCTGCCCTTTGGGGGCCTCTTTCTGTTCTCCAGTGAGGGGTGCCCAGGTGGCTGGGTTGCCCCTGGGGGAATTCTTCTCTCCCACTCCACAAGCATATGAAGGGACCCTTGGGCCTGGGCCTTCGGTTGCTGAACTTGTCCCACAGTGCACACTGGGAAACTCCAGCCCTCTCCTACCACAAGGCGGCTGCAGGACCTCTGAGGTGGGAGATGAGAAGCAGGTACCCGATGCCACTTCCTGAACTATAGAGACATCAACCGCCAGAGAGGGCCGCGGATGGGGCCTGGCCTGCAGTGCCCGCTGTAGCAGCAGAGGGGAGAGTTCAAATCCTGGGGCGCAGGGCTGGAAAGGGAGTGCAGCGGGCAGGGCACTTGCCTGACACACAGCAGACCTGGGTTCGATCCCTGGCACCACACATGGTCCCCTGAGCCTCCTTGGGTCCCTGAGCAGAGAGCCAGGAGCAAGCCCTGAGCACCACCAACACGGAAACAAATCCTGGGTCCCTGCAGGTGCCGGGCAGGCCCCTGGTGGCTCTGCAGCCTGTGCTCCTCGGTACAGGAGTCAGGCGTGGAAAGATAACTCCCCCCCCCCGCCCCCACAAAAGCAGGGAAGTACCAACCGGGTGTGTACCACACGTGGCCAGGGAAACGCAGCCTCTGGCAGGCACAGGTGTGAGTGCTACAGTGCCTTCCACCACACCCCAAGCCTGTGTCCCCATGAGCTGGGAATAAAGGGGTGTGACGGGGGAGTGCCCAGGTCTGAGCTCCATAGCCTGGTGTGTGACCCCAACCATCGCCGTGACTCCTGCAGCCGCAGAGGAGGTGGCAAGGGGAATGTGCCCAACAACCAGAACCATGGGCGTGGAGTGCGGAGGTGGCAGGACCACGAGAGGGAAAACCCGCTGATGGTGCTTTGGGGCCCAGTGCTGTGACTCTTGGGCACGCCCCCGGGCAGATGGGGAGGCCCGGTAGGTGGGTTAGCTGCGGGTCTGGGGCCTGGTGAAGGCCAGTACCTGCTCCTCGGCCCCGGGCGCGCGGGGACCCCGGCCTTGGCCGCTGGAGCAGTAGTGGTCGTCGGCGATGGTGATCTGCTCGTTCTCCTCGGCTTCCAGCTGGCTCTGGTTGAAACGCAGGGAACCTTTCAGAATGTCTTTGATCTGTTTTCAAAGAAGATGGAATGAAAAAAAAAAGATGAATGAGCTGGGTTTGAAATGCGAACCCTCTAAGACGTTTTTTGAACTGGACTTGCCACTGCTGCCCATTTTATTTTTTTTTATAGTAGGAATATAAATGGAGTTCCCTAAGCCCAGGAATAACAGTGGGAAATGCGAATTGATCAAAGCCATCGACTAATTAATAACCAAGGGACATTTCAGTCCTCCTGGCAAGGTTCTCACGGGGTGAGACTCTGTGTGTGTGTGTGTGTGTGTGTGTGTGTGTGTGTGTTGGGGTAGGGTACGTGTGTATGTGTGTGTGTGTGGGAAATCCTTGACAGTTGTTTATTCCTTTGTGGGGTGGGGGTGTTCGGCCACAACTGGGGGAGCTCAGGGGGACCATATGTGGGCCTGGGGACTGGGAGTTGACACCATGCAGGGCAAGTGCCCTAAACCCCTGTAACTATCTTGCCAACCCCTTGACAATCACCTTAAAGCTGGAAGCACCATCACGCCCAGACCCACTCTACAACCCCTGGCACTGAAGTGTTTTCAGCCCAGTTCAGATGGCCACTGACACAGGAAGACACTTGAGGGTGCCTGGGACTCTTTTCGCTGACGTTTCCTGCTGTGTTTAATTGCCCGAGGGCTGTCAGCGGGGGCCTCTGAGTAGTGACTCGAGGGACCTGAGCTCCAGGATGGATGATACAATGCGGTGGCGAGCCATGAGGGATCACCCTGGTTCTGGGCTCGGAGTGGCCGAATGGGTTTCTTGGGAGGAAGTGACAATGCCGAGAGCGTTTGGGGCTGAACACGAGTCCCACAGTCACTAGACGGAGACAGAGGAGGGAGAGATTCAGGAGGGGAGGACGGGCACTGGGCCTCCTATCAGGGTAGGCCAGACCTGAGGGTGCCCCGACGCAGAGAGCCATCGACCTACCTGTTTTAACCCTGCCAGGGAAACCAGAATCTGGTCTTCTTTCTCCAAATTTTCTTGTAGTATCACATCTTGAATAGTTCCTAGAAATCGCAAGGATGACACTTTAGGACACATATTCTGAGCAGAACTTTATTTGCTGCTGCTTCACCGTCATCAAGTCAGCCTGGGGATTTTTATCTGCATTTTAAAGCGACTACTCCCACCAAGCTGCAGGTGAGGGGGTCCTGGAGTGGAGATCAGGCAGCAGAGCCTGGTCTGCCTGGGCTTCCTGCCCCCGTGACCCATGGTGGCCATGTCCCTACTTCCCTGGGGAGTTCGGCGCACCTCCTGCTGACCCGGGGCGTGCTCATGGAACAGCCTACAAGAACCACGACAGGAAGCATGCTCTCCACCCATCCACATCTGTGTCCTGACTTTTTTTTTTTTATTTAATCACCGTGAGATACAGTTACAAGCTTTCATGTTTGAGTTTCGGTCATGCAATGATCAAACACCTCCACCAGTGCACATTCTCCACCACCAATGTCCCCAGTATAACCCCCCTTTCCAATCCTCTCCCTGTCTCTATGGCAGACAATTTCCCCCATATTCTCTCTCTCCTTTTGGGCATTATGGTTCGCAAGACAGATACTGAGAGGTTATCACTTTTGGTCCTTTATCTACTTTCAGCACACAATTGTACAATAAACAAACCTCCAACCCCATCAAAAAATGGGGAGAAGAAAGGAACAGAAGCTTCCTCAAAAAGGAAAGACAAATAGCCAAAAGGCACATGAAAAAAATGCTCCACATCACTAATCATCAGGAAGATGCAGATCAAAACAACAGTGAGGTATCATTTCACACCACAGAGACCAGCACACATTCCAAAAAACAAAAGCAACCAGTGCTGGCGTGGATGTGGGGGAAAAGGGACTCTCACTGTTTTTACTTTTGGTGGCTGCCCGTACCTCCATATTTTCCCAGTGCCAGATGATGTCATCAAGAAGCTTGTGATGTAAATACTCAACAGAAAGCTAGTCTGCCTTTTCCCAAAAGGTGGAAGTGTGCCTTTGTGTACGACAGCAATGATCTTAAGATGAGGGTGCTACGTGATACAAGTGAGGCCAGGGAGAGACAGTTGCTGGCCAGTTTCACTCATAGGTGGGATCAAGTAACTGAAATCCATGAAAGAACTAAAGCCAACTGGCAAAGCCCCAACATAACCAACTCCTAGAGGCAGTAGAAACGGTGACGGTTCCCAGAGTGAAAGAGGACGGGATGGGCAGGATGGAGGAGGAGCAAGCAGGAGGGATGGGAAAGGGGTGGAAGAGGGAGGGAGGGGTAGTTTCATTCCTGAGTCAAGGTGATAGTCAGGAGCAGAGACGCTCCTGCCTGCCCTGGGCTGGAAGTTAAAAAAAAATTATAATTATTATTTTATATGAACACAGCCCTGACTGGGTGCTCCCCTCACTGGGGGACAGGAAGGGGCACGAAAAAGGGGCACATTCCCTCCCATGTGTCCTCATGCCTGTGCCTATCCCCTCCACCAGGGAGCTCTCTCCAGTTCCACAAGGCAGAATGTGTCAAGAGAAAGCAAACAATCTATGCTTTGCTTAAAAACAAATTGCACATCCTCTTGCAAGAAAAAAAAACCCTAGAAAACCAAAAACAAACCACAAAGCTGGGAAATCAACATGGAACTGTATGGTGGGGGTTCCATGTATGAACAGGTGTGAAGCTCAACCTTTGGGATTCCAACATAAACTTGCAAACTCAATAAACCAATGATAAACCATCAAAGTTCTTGAGAAAAAAACCCCAAAACCAAAAAGACATATTTTGGGAGCCAGAAAGATAGTACAACGGGTGGGGTGCATGCCTTGCATGTGACCAACTCAGGTTCAATCCTTGGCATCCCATGTGGTGCCCGGAGCCTGCCAGGAGCAAAGAGCAAAGAGCCAGGAGTAACTCCTGAGCATCGCCAGGTGTACGCCTACTCCCACCAAAAGGGCATTTTTCTGAAGTCAAATGACAGCACACTACACTGCACAGTTATTGCTCTCAGGGTAGGTGTGTGTGTGTGTGTGTGTGTGTGTGTGTGTGTGTGTGAAGAAATGGGATGTGGTATTAGAGAAGCTGTTTTTAAAGTTGTGAACCAGGGGGCTGGAGCAATAGCACAGCAGGTAGGGCATTTGCCTTGCACGCAGCCGACCTGGGTTCCATTCACAGCATCCCATATGGTCCTCTGAACACTGCCAGGAGTAATTCCTGAGTGCAGAGCCAGGAGGAACCCCTGTGCATCATCAGGTGTGAACCCCAAAAAAAGTTGTGAACCAACTTTTTGACTAAAAAAAATAGTTTGTGGCAATCATGTGAGGAAGACTGTGATGCAGTGGAGTAGACAGTGTGACACAGTAGATATGAACCCACAGTACCAGGCCTGCAGGACACACAGGGCAGATCCTGGGGGGTGGGCAAATGTGCGTCTGAACAGGGACTGAACCCTGGGACTCTTACATGCCAGGCATGTGGCTCTATTACTGGAATTACAAGTTTTTATTGACTGCATCAACAAGCACACACAGGCAACATTTTGAAACCTGGACTTCCAAACACTTCTATTTAAATAATTTTTAAACAGAAGCCATGCTGAAATATACAAGATTGGGAGGTATCTCACTATCTAATTTGGAACTATACTCTAAAGCTATCGTGATCAAAACTGTATGGTACTGGGAAAAAAGAAAGACTCTGATCAATGGGTCAGAGTCGAATAACCAAGGACAAAACCCCATAGCTATGGACAGTTAATTTTCAACAAAGAAGCTGAGAACGTGAACTGGAGTAAAGATAGTCTCTTCAATAAATGGTGCTAGGAAAACTGGATAAAAACATGTGAAAAAAATTAAAATTAGGTCTATATCTCACAACTTACACAAAAGCCAACTCAAAGTGGATCAAAGACCTTGAGATCAGACCGGAATCTATAAAGCACACTAAGGAAAATACAGGTAGAAAACACCAAGACTTGGACCTCAAGAGAGGTCTCGATGATATGATGCTTTTGGCAAAGACAACAGCATAAAAAATAAGCAAATAGGACCACATCATATTAAATAGTTTCTGCATGACAAAAGGAAAACAGGCTAAAACAGATAACCGAATGGGAAAAAAAATATTCACATTCAGTACATCAGACTGAGTGTTGATATTCAGGATATATAAAAGACTCACAAAGCTCCACCACCACCACCATCATCATCACAACAAAAAAAATCCAAAATCCCTATTGAAAAGGGGAGAGCAAATGAACAGCCAGATGGTTGACACGCACAGAAAAAAATGCTCCTCATCATTTATCATTTGGTAATCCAAATCAAGATGACAATGAGATATCATCTCATACCAATCAGAATGGCACATATCAAAAAATAGCAGGAGCAATCCGTGTTGGTCGGGTGTTTGGATGAAAAAGGAATGCTCACCCACTGCTGGAGGGAACGTTGTTAGGCTGAACCCATGTGGAACAGCACGCAGGGTTCTCAGTAAACTTAGCTGCCACACAACCCAGCAAGTTCACTTTTGGGAATCTACCCCCAGAACAGAAAGACATTTACTTAAAAGGACATATGCACATTTACTGTTCATTGAGCCAGAAGCACAAATTCAGAATGATCTCACTTATCTGCTGTATATGGAATAACTGGATGAGGGAAAGCAATATAGTAAAGGGGAAATGCCCAGATCATCCTTGATGCCAGAAAGGGGGAGAAGAAAAGAGAAAGAAATTGAGGGAGGAATAAAACAAACAAACAAACAAACAAGAAATACTGTCCTCCTGTTGTTCATCCATTTGCTCAAACATCTCCATTGTGAGACTTCTTGTTACTGTGTTTGGCATATACTTGTTACTTTGGCATATACTTGTTACTGTGTTTGGCATATACTTGTTACTTTGGCATATACTTGTTACTGTGTTTGGCATATACTCTCGGTGGCTTGCCAGGCTCTCCGAGAGGGGCGGAGGAATCGAACCCGGTTCGGCCGGGCTGGCTGTGCGCAAGGCAAACGCCCTACCAGTGTGCTATTACTCCAGTTCTGCAAAAGGGAAGTAATGGGGGGTCTAGGGGTCAGAGGCCTTGGGGGTACTGGTACTCTGGGGGAGTGGTATAGCTAATGCATTCAAACACTGACAACGTGAGATCGAAATTAGAATCACCAAATTTTCAAATGTGTACTGTTTCATTTTTGGGGGCCACACCCCTGGCTCTGTGCCTGCAGGGGTCATTCCTGGCAGGCCTCAGGGGAGCATGTAGGATGCTGGGGATTGAACCTGGGTCAGCTGCAGGCAACGCAAGTGCCCTATCCACTGTAGTATTGCTCCAACCCCAAACTTCAGGATCACTGGTAGAGGGAATTTGACACTGGTGGGATTGGTGCCAGAACACTGTATGTCTAAAACTCAACTCTCAGTAGCTTTACAAATCATGATTTTTCCATTAAATAGAAAAATGTACCAAAAGGAAGTGTTTTCAGTAAGGGGGCCAGATAATGTCTCATGGTAATGGTGCTGCATCCAGCCTGACAATTTCTTATCATCCTTAAGACAAATATACCCAGAGACCACGCTGAGACCTCTTTCACAGGCCGCAGTGGCCGACTAGTTCAGGAGCTTGTGGGGAAGAAGGTGTGCTGTGAAACCAGAAAGCAAGATGAGTGGGAAGGGAATTATGGATGTAATTAGAGAGCGAATGTTTCAGCTTTCCTTCTAGGCTTGTAACGATTTGTTCTCTCGCGAAGCAACAACAGCAGCAATACTAACAACACAGAATTCACTCAACAAGTCATTAAAAACAACCAACCACATGATAAACAGCTCTGGATGCTTTTCTGAGCATAAAAGAGGCCAAATTTCCAAGACTTTTCTGGCGCAGTCAGAGAGCCTGAGGGTTGCTGGGTAGCACACACAGGCCGAGAAGGTTCTGCCTCACAGCCCCTGAGGCGCAGAGGTAGCCTGAGGGAAGGAGACTTTTTTTAAAAAAAATTTCCTTTTTGGGTCACACTCAGCTTTGCACAGGGATTACTCCTGGCTCTGCAC